AAGTAGAGAAAATGACTTAGGGGGGAGGGGGGACAAGGGCAACATACGTAACCTAAACATCTGTACCCCCATAATATGCTGAAAAAAAAAAAAAAGTAGAGAAAATGTCTAAGAATTTTCAGGCCTTTTTTTCCTTGTCTCCCTCCAAATAGCATTTGTGTAAATGCATTGTCTTTTCCAGATCCAGATCCTGGCTAATCAACCCATTGTCCTGGAAGCAGTTCAAGTATTCTCTAGGGAGGAGAGCTTTGTCAGGTTTTTATTATGTTCCAGAGATGCTGTTGTCATTGTTTCTTACAAGATACATGGCTACAAATCACTATCAAAATTCCATGCCCAGTGGCTTCCAAAGAGGTGACAGGTTTTTGTTTTGTTTTGTTGAGCTCATCTGACTTTGAAATGGACTCTCGCCTCTCTAATTTTGCTCAGTGTCCTCCATGGGGGCCGTTTCCCCTTGTAGTGATGCTTCTCTCTGCAGCCCACTTGGGGATGTCACATCCAAGCTACTGTATCTAGTGTAGTCATCTGGGGGCCTGAAGAACGTGCTGTGGTCTGATGAGCTGCTATTGTCATCTTTCAGGGACAGGAGAGAGTGGCAAGAGTACGTTTATCAAGCAGATGAGAATCATCCACGGGTCGGGATACTCTGATGAAGACAAAAGGGGCTTCACCAAGCTGGTGTATCAGAACATCTTCACAGCCATGCAGGCCATGATCAGAGCCATGGACACACTCAAGATCCCCTACAAGTATGAGCACAATAAGGTAGGTGTGACTCTTCACTGGGGCGGTTGGCAGAGCGGTCCACAAAATATGACAGTACAAGTGGCCTCTTACCAGGTCTGGAATGCAGAGGGGGTTTTTGAAATGTTTATTTTTCATCTCATCCTAAATGGGATTTTAAATGGATCAAGTTGTTTATAAATGTCTTTTTCTTAAACCTTTAGAGTTACACCTATAAAAAATTAGAATTATATTCTTAGTGATATCACTGAAAGACATATTTGGATGTTCAACGATAAAAATACATGGAGGTTTAAAATTTGGGAAGTGCGTTATGTTAAGGAGACAGCTTGTAAGTGCCATACAATTTGACCAAAGTGGGGGAATTCAAAGAGGCGGCAGCCTTGCCTTAGCTTCCCACTCTTTGTGCTTCATTGAAAAAAGAACGAAAACAGCTTAAGACCATCCTATCTGGTTTAATTTTGAATTTCGTGACTTCCTTTCAGTAGTACCACAGGCTTCATTTTATTTCAAAATGGGCCCATCTGTCACACGTTTCCAACATGTTTCCCTGCAATTGTGTTAAAGTAACGGAAACTTCTAAAATCACTTGAGAAAGGATTCAGGAAAAAAAATCTAAAGTTTCAGCTTTTTAGAAAATAAGCAAACTCTTCCAGTATCCTCCAGCATTACCTCTTAGTCGAAATAGAAAACTCTTCCTCCAACCCCCTCCATTACCCCAGGTGAAAACAATGCTATAATTGTTCACCCTCTAAATATTATGTAACTGTGATGCCAAACAAGATTGGTACATCTGAGAGTGGCCCCGTATTCAAGTTTATGCTGCAGTTGCCCTGCAGAAAGCTTGTAGGCAGGGACTGGAGCTACACCCAGGGTGTGACAGCCTCTGCAGAGGCCCCCAGCCTGCGGGAAGGGAAATCTCTTTGGAATTTGTGGAAATGTCTTTGTAGCCTGTTGGCTTCCCTTCCCACTAATGGGTATATCCTGCATGGACTCAGTCTTTGCTTCTTTGGGCTGGTAGGTGCTCATCTTACAGTAAGCCTCACCTTTTGTTGGCAAAACACTGCATTTGTATCTGTAATTATTTTAGAGCCTTCAATAAGAACTTTCATTCTCTCAGTACTGTTGACAAATCTGCTGTGAAGGATATTTCTGTTTATCAGGATCAGTAGGTAATAGCAAGAAGTTGGGATGCCCGTTGTGACTCACAGACTGAGATTTACCTCACAAAGATGAATCCATGGGTAAAATAAGACAATTCTGTGTACCTTCACCTCTGCTACCATCCAAAGGCTTCTAAATATATCAAATCATCTTAAAATCAGGCATTTCTTTTTCCTGGATGTTTTCTTGAAATTAACTGCCAGTTTTTTGTCTGATAGATAATACTATTACACTTAGTTTTCCAGTGGCAACAGGAGTCTCTCCATGAGTAACAGAACCTTCACAAATAATCCCTCCTGCTTTTACTTTCAAAAGTGAAAAAGAGCTGAATGTTTTGGGAGCTCAGAAACATGGTAGTTGAACCAGATTAAGCTGCATGGATATATCTAAGTGGCCTAAAATTTTAAAGGATTGGGGTTTTTTCCTCACTAAGAAATCTCGGTGGTTTGTGAAATAGGTGATGTGCTTGTTTCCTTATAATCGTGAGAAAATTCTGTTGGAGTTTTTTTTTTGTTTTGTTTTGTTTTTATAATGCCAGTGATTTTCCAAGTCTGTGGTTATTTGGTAATATGATGGGCTGATGAATTCTGGTTGAGTTACCATGTGTGTGCTTTACGTATATATGTTTATACATATATACCACACTGCCCGTTTACCTGTAATTTTACCCCAGAAATCTTTTTTCTTAGATGCTCTAGAAGAATCCTTCAGGATCCTGCCCTGTTGGTAGATTTTCATATGAAGATCGTTTATTATACGGGCATGTAGATGTAGAAGATTGGGTAGAATTTATGCCTCAGTCATATAACACGTTGAGGAATATTTAACACTGTTATTTGAGCTCTTCATGTCAATTCTAATTAAGTAGACTTTATTGTATTGAATACTATTCAGTTATAAGTTGACATCATAAAAAGTTATAATAATATGGGGTTTTCTCAGATACCGTAATTATCCTGTAAAATCTTCCCACGTCTCTTAGTTACTGAACAGATAACAGACTGCCTAACATCGTGACATTAGTGCATGATGACCTCTAAATTGCTATTTTTAATCCCCTTTAATTTGTATTATGAATTACTTTTCCATTTTTTCTATTTTCTCTACATCATATATATTCTGATGAGATATATATATATATATATATCACTCTCCACTTGCTTTATCCATTAACTTCCTGGCCTTTGTTAATGCTTATTAAGAAAATAATGTCTTCTCCTTCCTGTTCAACTCAAATGCCACTTCCTCTGAGAGTTCTCCTCTATTCTCCCCTCTACCATAGTGCTAAGTAACCCTATTCTTCTTTAGTATAACCCATAGTGGAATATTTATGATTGTCTAGCTTGTGTTGAATATGATGACTTGTGTATTTATCTTACTTTCCTGACTAGATTCTAAGCTCCTTGAAAGTAAATCTTATGCCAGTTCCATCTTTGTTTCCTTCATTGTCCCTAACATTGTATCTTGTGCATTGCAGGTACTCAAAAAATACTTGTTTCATGAATAAGTAAATCATTTGTGAACATTAACAACTGAAAGTCTCCCCTTCTGCTCCAAAGTTGTTGAGATGGTTGTTCAAATCAACTTTTGAAATCTCTCTGTATACGTAAGGGAATAAATGCTCTGTGCTGTCAGAGATGCAGAGAAGTTTAATCAGGGCTGGGCAGAAATTTATAATCCTGAAGGGCATGTCTGAGGGAGGGGCACTTTGGGGAGAAGGAATGGCTAGAGGAAATACTCAGAAGAAGGAATATGCATACAGTATTGAAATTGGCCAATGTAGCTTGAGCAGAATTCTTACAGAGGAGAACTGGAAAATGGTTTATGATGTGCTTGTGAAAGATTTTGAATCCAGGCTAAGTCTGAATTTTATTTTCTTGTGTTTATGATATTTAATAATAATATTTTATGTTTTGTTTAGAATTTTCTATAGAAATTTCTGGTTACAAAGCTATGTGTGCTATATTTTATAAATAGTCTAAAGGATTTGGTGTGTATTTGATTAGTAGTTATTTGGAAGCACCACATTCTGATTTATTTTATGCTGCTAAAGATATAAATAACCATTTTGGCTTTTTTAAAAAAAGTTTCTCTGCACCTACCATTATGTTGGCCATAATCTACAGGTAGTAGCATAAATAAAACCAAACACTTTGCAATAGTGTCCAGCATAACTTTGTATTATACTTGCTTTTGAACTCATGTATTTCATAAAGCAAGACAGAGTTTACAAATGAAATGGCCTGTTTCTGAACTGGAAAATTGTTCGCAGTTTCATTTGCTATGAAGTTGGTTCTAGCTTTGGGAATGCCACACCAGAGCACCGGGATTTCCTTTGCTCCTGCTTAAGTGTTGATACATTAAATTGAGAGTCCTGCCTGGTTAGCTGGCCAGAGGGTGCAGCTGTCAAGGGGAGTCCAGGGCCCAACCTGGGGACCAAATGGTGTGGAATTGCATACCCTTTTATAAACCTCACCCTATTTCAGGGATTGCAAATTCAGAAAGGAGCTTGTAATGAATTGTAATAAATTGCAGACTTTTACCAAAATAAAGATTAATTCTTTCCTCAGTATATGTTCATTATCCTGTTCTTAGACTTTCTTTGCCAAACAAGTAATGTTTATAGGTGAGTTGCTTGGACTCAGCCCAGGTGAGAGAATATATACATTTTGGGACTTCTTCTGAATATACTGTGAGTTTGTCTTTTCCTGAACATAATTGTTGATAGCTAATGATAAAAGGGATTAAATATTTGTCACTTGGTTGAATCAAAAGATACATTTGACCTCCACTGGGTGCAGAGTATTTAACCATTAGATTACTGTGTCATTTCTTAGTTCCAAAAGAAAGAATTTTATACTGTTATTTTATGGCTTCCTTTCTTATGCAGTCATGCTCTTTTGGTGATTCTTTGCTTTGATGCTGAAATCAGCTCTTAGTAAAAAGGATGAGATATAAAGCTTCTGTGTTAATAAGGAACTGTCTCGAATTACAGCTTTGGGAAGTGGATCATAAAGTTTGGGACCCCTGATTTTTATGTGCCTTATTGTCTGTACCTGGCAGATGGTGTTTTTCGTGCATTGCCTTTTGTTAGTTACTTCATATGTACATGGCTTATTTGCTCAGTCAGATAGCAAATTACATTGCCGTAAGCAGGTTTCTTATTTAATAATTCTTTGTTTCCTCCACAACATGCCAGACATGTTATAGGAGCTTTTGTTCATTGAGTGGATTGTTCCAGATAGCAGATCCTGGTATCCCTTTATAATTGGCTTATAATTTCTGTGAGCTGTGAAATCGGGTTTTCTTAGGACAGTTTCAAAGTATTGATACACTCTTGCTCTCTTCAGTCTCCGGAGAAAAGAAAATCTGATTCAATGCTTCTTCATGCAGTGAATTTAAGACAGTTATTGAAGAGAACTCAGCATCATGCTAATGTTGCACAATTTCCCTTTTTCTTTGTAAACCAATATCTACTTTTAGACTTGAAAGTCCTGATAACCAGGGCTCATTTAGCACCGAGGCTACAGCTGTTTGACTAGCTAGCCAGGAGTTTTGAGGCCTCATACTTGTTTGCCTTTCACCTGGCATAGAGGGTCACTGAGAGGACGTGTTGCTACATTACTTTTTGTCCTCCCTGAACAATTATAAGAAAGGACTTGTCACAGGAAAGTACCTTTTTAAACACATTTGATACTTTGTGAGTTTTCTGTACTTCCTGAAAAATCCAGAGTCCCAGGAGCCATTTTTCATTTTCCAAAAGATAAACATAGCCAAGATTCTGGAGCGCTTGCCAACTTATTCCTGCCTTTGATCAATTGAATTAAAAATTACTACTTTTTTCAACATGAGGGAAG